CAGACACACTGACTGGACACTACAGGACATTAACACTGCACTGAGAGAGAGTTTTGCTGTGTTCATTAATACCCTGGTGTGAGCTGGTGTTAATGCAGTGTGACCTTGTCTCTTCCAGGGTCTGCTGAGCTTTGCAGAGTCATCTGGACTGCCTGTGTCGGTGCACTTCGACCAGCCTGGAAGGTGTCTCCTCCTCACTCTCTCTCCTCTGCTCCCTGTCTCCCCTCTGCCTTCCCCCTGTCTTTCTCCGGAGTGCAGAATGTCGTGCGACAGACCGTGCTCGCGCTCTAGAGCAGTGGTTCTCAGCCCTGTTAGACCAAAGCACATCTGTGCAATCCAGATATGGCAACATTAACTCACTGGACAAGAGCATGAGAGAGGTGACACATGAGAGGAAGCCAGTCAGCTCATCAGGCCCTTCCGTAGCTCACTGACCCATTGAACTGTTTCTTGAAAGAAACCAAGGTACCCGTTTAAAAAAGATAGCTATATCGTTTCATAATCCCTCCACCCATTGTGTAAAGATGTGTCTCCTGTTCTCAGTTTGAAATGCCCTGCCACATGGTTTCTGCTTGTGGTTCAGGTTTCACTGTTGATTCTGGAGCTCTGTTGGGTTGACTTTGTTGCAGTCTTGGAGGATTTTAGTTGTATCAGGTCCCCTTGTAATCTTCTCTGTTTATCAGTGAAGAGCTGTTTTGTTGTACCTCCTGCATACTATGAAGATCCCATTGAAAGTACAACTCCATTGGGATTCCCTGTGTACCCCCCCCCAGGCCAGGGGAGTCCCTGTGTGATGCCACCCCCTGTGACAGAGGAGTCCCTGAGCAGCATACTCAGTTCTGTTCTGTTCATTCTGAGATGTTGATCACAGTAAACATCTTTATGAAGGACAGTGGTGATGAGATCTTTATTCCTGTGTGTTTTCCAGGCCTGTGGTGTTCAGCATCAGTGATCCAGTGTTGGAGGTGAACTTTGTCTTGGCCACTCTGTCTGATGAAGAGATGCCTCCCACCAGCTCCCACTGGTAACTGTGACAGCCTCTGAAACACTGCAGTGCAGTACAGC